AGCTGATATCGCTCGTGCTGTCTTTTGGCGTATGAGTAATCACCATCTGGATTACCGGCACTGAGGCGTAATGTGCTCGCCGGTTCACTCCCCCGACAGGAGAATTGCCTCTGTCGGACTGAGTATCATAAGAGTCCTCTCGTAAGGTCCCGCGTGCAATGGATGGGTAATTGCTGACCAACGGTTATGTAGACGATGGTAATGACGGTGCGCTGATCATGGTAGGCGCAGAGCCGAGGATATGAGACTGACAAAGTGAGGCCGAGATCACCACATTTCTTTCTTTTAGTAGTCACTGCGGATGCCTTTGAGAGTGTTCCTTCCTCCGTGACGGGCACCATTATCTAAAATTAGAAATGACACACTAAACCACGTAAACTATGCGCAAGAGTTGAGCAGATGTATTTTTTTGCCTACATCAGGATCCCTACCGATGAAGGCTGTGGCCGAATCTGAGTGGGTAGAGTAAAGATGGATCGGCGTTGCTTGGTTATTTGTTTTTAGGCGGCGGAGGGCGGATTTGCCATTTATGATTCCACAGTGTTACCGTAAAACATAAAATCTTTTAAAAAACACTCCAGCTTGCAGGTGTTCGTTGATATAGTGAAGAGTCCCGTGAGTAAAGATCCTTCCAGATAGTTTGGTCAGTCAGGTTTCTGTGTAATTATCGGATCATTATCGGTTCCATTCTCGCTTGCGGAATCGGTGACTGTGGCAGGCTTTAAATATCTTACTATATCGCAGATGGACCAACACACCCCTACGCGCAATATGCTACACCCGCCGTCCCGTTTGAAACTTATTTTGCAAGGATTGGGTTTAGCCTAGTAGTTCGAGCATGATTCCTCAGCCCTCACGAAAATTCACTCTGGAGGAGGAGTTAGTTCCTTGACATTTTGGTTTTTATAAAAAAAAATGACGACGTTAACATGCTTTGTGTACTTTTGCAAAACGTCTACACTATATTTCGTATGTATTGCACTTTTTTCCAGCCTTATTTTTAAAATAGACATAGAGGGCACGGAGTTGTGCGTTGGGTAATTTCATCGTGCATTTCGTCTGATAATCAAGTCAATAACATTTTGTTAATGCAAGCGGACGTTAGTCTCATAATTCGATTCTGCTTATTTTACCTGGTACGTCGATTGTTGATGACGTTACACTTGATAGCCCTCAGCAGGCTCTTTCGAGGTAAACACTTGTATTCAGCTGCTTATACTCCATTATTGCTGAATTTTACAATTTGTAGCTTGAAGGTTCATTCTGTATGTACGACTACGTACAAATCAAGGATGGATCTTCTGAAACCTCACCTATTCTGCCCAAGATATGTGGAAATCAGCTACCGGATGCTATTGTGTCCACCACGAACGCGATCATCGTCACCTTCATCTCAGACGATATGGTCCACCATCACGGGTTCAACGCCAGTTTTGAAAAGGGTAAGGCTATATGATGTGCACCAATTTGAGGAAACAGAGAATGTATTCCTATGCACTTATGTAAACGTGGTTATTGTCGACTGCATCACCGCTTGTCTGGCTACACGTGCGGCCACCAAATTCCTCCGCTAGTTTGATGTTATAAACTCAGTAAATAATCTTCCGTATTAATGTGACAAATGCCGAAATAAATAAAATAAGTGCAACAGCGTACTACCTGTCCGTAAAGCATGCCCTCCAACGTGCATCTTACCTCATTGGTTATGCAGAGGTTTTTACATAAACCCGTCAGATTTTAACAACAATTAGCGGAGGATATGCTGTAGGTGCCCATCTTGATGAAATTTCATGGTTGTTAAGCAATGTTCCTTGTTACGCACAAGCAGGACAAGCTGCGTTCCCTATCTCAAGGGCTTACAACAGCCAATTCACCATTCTTATTTAAAAGAACGCGTATTGCGGTTTATAAAGTAATATTTTAAGTTGCTATGAAATGCAATGTTTTTCAGAAAAACGAAAAATATGTCAAATTAAAAGAAGAAGTATTAGTAAGTTAACTTGAGAAAGTCTGTTCACGCAACAGACCTAGTGAATAAATCAGCACATTTATAATAATGGATAGCAGTATATTATTGGGACGTTCGCTGAAACCAACTTACCAGAATTCCACTTTACGGACCCAGCGGTAATGGGGTTTATGCGAATGGAGAATTATGAGGGCATATGAGTAAAAATTAAGGAAGCAGAACAAACAAGGAGGAAATGAAGTATGCACTTTTACACGCTGATTTTTATATAGGTTTACCGAAGCCTTCAAATTAATATACTACTTGAAGTATTTATATAAATAATAAAATGTTGGAAATACTTTCTTTCTGTTTAGATCATGGTTTTAGAAGCACCCAAGAATGCCTACGTCTTGCCAAGTAAAATGGACGCTCACAATAAAAGTCAAAAAATTATTTTGTGTCTAAGATTGATTACCAACATATTTCAGTAAATTATCTCTTAAGAATGCGTTTAGTTGGAAATGTTAGCGTTGAATATGTGCGTAATTTACATTTTCGAATATAAATTCAAAAAAGCGAACAATTTGCCTGTTTGTTGACTTCTCTGGAATGGAGTTATGCACAATCTCATGAAAAGAGAAAACAGTGTTATATGTCTACCGGAGCGGTTTGGTATGTATAAGTTGGCTGTTGCCCTTCGTTCTACGATTGAAAAATACTAAATAGTTTAGGACAACTTATATTTTTCTGCCCGCTCTGTTTCAAGGTTCTGTATTTGTTCATAGTCAGCTGCAGATAGAAATTTTTATGTAATATGCGCGTATGACATTACAGAGAAGAGTGATGGCATATCGCGAGTTTACGGCCCACTTTTATTATATAATTTTATCAAAGGAAATGTATCATGTTTAAAAAATATAATTTCTCCAACTGAATTTTTGACTTTTTCCCAATACTTATACCATTTCTCATGTGGTTATATAGCTGATATACATGTAGGCAAAAAAATGATTTTACAATTGCTGAATGGATATAGTTCAAAATTTTCTGGCTTAATTAGTTTCTTCTAATTTAACTCCTTGCATTAGCATGTCATTTTTCTTCGCAGTGTTCGGCAGCGTAGGGAATTCCTTGGATGCCAATACAAGCGAACATCCGCGTCCCAGGAAGCAATTGAGAAGAAGAAGAATCCATCGCTGGGACAATATGTTTATTAGCCTGACGTTTAGATATCCATCGCGGATTCGTCATCAGACGTTTCTGCTACTCATGTCTCTGATGACGAATCCGCGACGGATATCAAAACGT